ATGCCTGTGGTCAGATAAAGCCAGACGCCATTGATAGATATTGCTCTATTTTTTAAAATTTGTAAACACGTGCCGTCCATTCCGCAGTTGCTAACCAAACATAGCTGGATTTGTAACTCTAAAATTGTTTTTAGCAAAAGGGTTTACAAACGTATCTATTAACTGTATTTGGGAAGGGGAAGGAAGATTTTTAGTGATGGGGTAGGGGCCCACTGATATACCATGTTAGATCTTTCTGAGGTCCTCTGTGGAAACCGTTTTAATTATTTCCTGATGAATTTTCCACGACCCCCAGGCGGGCATTATCATCTAGTGAAAAATAAATGCTTCAATTGAGAATTATTAGTGAGAGCGTTGCATAATTAAGCGCATGGTCGCTCCACATGGAACTGTCGTAGTTTCATAAGTTTTCTATATCGACGTAACCGCTGCACTGGAATTGGTCGCGCTTGTTATTTCACGTGCGTTCGCGCATTGTGAAATGTCTTCGTATTGTTATCTAAGCGACCGCTTTGTATTATTATGGAGTTGTTGTACAGATAAAAGAAATTGGAAACATTACGTTCAAGGCCTGTTTTACACGAATTTTAAATGGTATTAAATGCAATAAAGTCCAAAATTGTTTGTCGCGTACATGAGTTAGGAATAGAAAGAAATTAAGCATTGTAATTAGTTTCTCCTAGTCTATTCGGGAAGGTGTTGATACAAATCAGTAACTAACGTTTATGAGCAATATCACAGATAACATAATATTACATAATAATACTAATTTATCAATCATTATTATAGATGCCTATGACAGTTGCGATAATGTCACATAATTTTCCTATAATACATTACATAGGCATATTATTTCAACATTTACAAGAACTTTTGTTAAAAATTTATCATCGACTCTTTACTCTGACATTGCTACAAAATCTACCGTGACTTTTTGATGGACGTAATAAAATTAAGAAAATAGAAGTATACAATAATTAATATATATTTATATAGTTTTCAAAAATAACAAAATTAAAACAGAAACTTATGTATTAAAAATATTATGACATCCATATTGATACAGTTCCCTCATAATCTATTAATCTGGTATGGAATGTAAGAACTAATAATAGAAGTGTATACATATCGAAGGTACACGTTATAGACGAGCTTGATAAAATAAAGCAATGTAAAGAAAGAAATAGATTTCTACAAATTGGAGCGTAGTTCATTGTATTTGCAGTGGGCGACAGGTATTAAAAAAGTCTTCCAACAAATGAATTCAACGCGCTTACTTATGATAATCAATGTACAACTAAACATAAGTCGAGTTGCGACACATCGAACTACATAAGATACATACACGTTGAACTATGGATTCAGCAAAATATACTACGAATATAAACCTTGTCGTTGTATATTCAAACTTAGTAAAAGTCATTAAATAAAATAGTTACGGGAATAATGTCTGGGAGTATTTACCAATGATTATAAGAAATAACATTACGATTATCTTCATTATTACGTATATTCTACTACGTATAGTTACGCGTATTAAAATGATATAATTACATTGTTATTACGCAATTATGAAAAACCACAAATCTTTTTGTGGGTTTTGACCAACTTCCCAAAGCCACAGTTCTCAAACCATTGTGTGGACATGAGAAATCCACCTTGTATCCGTATCACCATTCAAAATTTAGAATTGCATAACACCGAGCATAGAATGGGTTTCGTAATGAATATTTTAAATAATATAAACAAAATGTCAGTTCGTCCTTCACTCGGCATATCTGACCGGAGTTCACTACAGCACTACAATATTCGGATATTGCAATATTGCCTTGTAGCAACGAGATATAACAATCAAATGTTCTCGTGCATTCGTCTCACACTAATTTGGTGGAACGAAATTAATTTTCGAAAGAAGTATCAAATTATTAACATGGGAGTCCATTTGTAATGGTAGTATAATACTAAACTATACAATTGAAATATCGGGACTTCCTACTATAGACAACAATTTCTAAAAAAATACTTTTTTTAACTATCCATACAACAGACTTAATAGACATTGAAGTATCCTGTAACTAGATATCATATCTAGGCTTTCTCATTTCGAAGAACTGAAATGTATTCGAATTTAAGTATTCATTATAATATGTATAGCAATGTCTCCCTTTTCAAAACTACAATTGGCTTTGTTAAAGTATAATGTATACGTATAAAGGATAACGCTACTTGAATTGAATAAAATAGCCAGAGCTACAAGACGTCAGGATCAACATTATCTGGTATTTCACTAGAATACCTAACTACGACTACTTGGAATGTAGATACCTCCGTAGTAAAAGATTTAGTTCAACATTTTCGAGAAAATTCTGAGACGAGAATGTCTTTGGCGCAGTTTGCATGGAATATGCAAATAACAGTTGTCGTTTGTACGGACGGTTGGAGGTAAATATTAGAATTTCCGCGTTGCGGTTACCTCTTTCACTAGGTAGATAGTTTTATTATAAAATGCTTGTATTCTATAAATTCTCCAGTTACTAATTAAATTATCAGGGTCTGTGTTGTTCAATATCGACTTTGATGTAACTATATATAAGGACATAAAATTCGGAATGACTCTATAATAAAATTTCATTGTTTCATTTCAAAGACAAATACACAAATATACAAACGAGGCTCTACAGAAGAATGTAGAATTTCACCAGTTTCCGATTAATGTGTATGTTAATTAAAATTATTACCAATAATATTAATACCGAGGACGTACATAAACCTTATGCACACACAAACCTGTCAATAACAATGCTCCAAACGTTAGATGAAAAGCGACAGATAACTGCATTTCCAATGATACTATGCCTGCACAAAGAGCGCTTTGTGCATAGTCTCTTCAAAGCTGTCTCGTTATATCACCTGTCAATATAAAAGCCTATGTTAAACGCATGTATCTGTTCAATTCTCGTTACACCAACTGTCGTATCGTGAATTACTTTACCGTTTTAATTATCGTACTATATCATATAATTTTCTATTCTAAATTTATTTCCTATTTCTATATATTACTTACATAAAAAAATATATAGATTCTATAACTTGCTGAGTGGTTACGAAAAGTGCAATATAAGCCGCTATTACTTGGTAGGTATATCATTAATCATCTTATCTGAGAATACTATTTTATATATTTTTATTATGGACATTTTGGTTTTTTTAAGTATAAGCATGTTTAGATACAAAATTACATCAATTCTTATTGTAATTATCTCTAGTACTTGTTACTATGTTCCAGTAGTATGGCCAATTTAACACATTATGCACGTGTAACCATACATTATATTACCTAACTGTGGTAAGCGTGACCACGAATTTGTATTCCATTTCACCACTACAATTGTTATACTTTGAGCGATTGGAACTAAACCAGCAATATGACATACGCGTTGCGATATAGTCGTCTACACATTATGCAATTATTGATACCCAACACACTAGTTTCCGCATTTCTTTTGGCGTAGAATACCTGTTACGATATTCAATAAAGACAACTATTTCACGTTCACATTATATTATCAAATGTGATTTACAATACCGATTTGTATGCAGTAAAATTACTAGGAACAGAGTCATCAGGAATGACATCAATGGATACCTCGGAATATCATAATGTAACGTGTGACGTCTATTATCGTGGCCCGACAGCTTCTTTGCCATTTCCATTACATAAAAAAAATTATATTTAGACGACTAAATGAAAGCCATACTTATTATTCAAGAAGTAAATAAAATAGTATCATAATAATATCTACATTTTTCTATATGGTTACATTCTATACCTATGTACATAAATTAAAGATTTATGAATAACTAATGACTCGGCCTAACTTCGTCCATTTTGAGTGTTACACACGATATATAGACTGTATGCACCTCAAATGTACTTTACTTTAAAATAATGTGAGAACTTTTGAAATATGTGCAGCAGTTCCGGAGATTACAGTGTAAAATTTCCTACTCTCTGCAATGTTAGTGAACATTTAACACAAGTTGAAACAATACCGTAATGCCACTGAAATAATTTTGAATAATATTGCACGGTAATTATTGAATGAGTAACAATATTATGTAGGTAAGGCGTGCATACATGGATGGTTTATATGAACTATGCACATAATAATATATATATATATATATATATAATTTATTTCTAGTAATGTATTCATAAAATTTTAGATTGATTAATTGGATTGAATTTGGTTGATATTTTTATATAATTGGAATTACCTCTCCAACGAAGGCTAAAAAGTTATGCAGCCGGTAACTTCACTGTCATATGGCTCCCTATAACATATAAAGTAAATAGATGAGACAGAGGTACCCACTTAAACGAAAGTCTATTTAGTAAAACTTGAGATAATTACATTAATTTAATTAGACGTAGTGTCAAAACGTTTTCTTCTACGAGTTTCTCTAAATGTTTTTCTAAGAAATCACGATTATATATAAGGCGACGCGTCGCGTAGTTAGGTCGCCTAATTTACTGAGTTTCATGTGTCCAATTAGTGCATTATTAGTAAGGGTAACCTATGTAGTTAGTAATGGCCTGTATGATAGAATGTAGTATATAACTCTCAATTAACAATAAGGGCGACTAGTACCCAACTAGTCGCTCTTATTGTTAATTGAAAATTGAAAAAAAGTAAGTGTTGTAAATTAGGTCAGTAATAAATAATACGAGTAAGAAATTGTTCTGGCTCATTATTATTACTTTTTACCTAGTATAAGCATAGTCTACCGAGGACGGGATACAACTAATAGAAACAACGAGCCTTATTACTTGTTGTTTAATGATAATGTGATGCTGCATTACGTCCTCCGGTACCCCGGTAGCGTATATGGTTAGCGCTAGTGGAGACATAATTATATTATCGACCATTAAAATTAAAACACGGACTATAACAGGAGTTATGTCTACGTTCATATTTAAAGTACTGTTTTTTTTACAGTAGAGCGTCGTTGTGGCCACCCCGCAGTCCCGCCGAACGCTCGTGTGTCCTTGCCGACCCAAGACATCGTCCCAGGGACAGTAGCCAAGTACGAGTGTGATGATGGATATGAGCTTTTCGGAGCCCACCAGAGAGAATGCACGCTGAGAGGCGAGTGGACTACAGAGCCACCATTTTGTGGTCAGTACATATGTTTGTCCTATCTTTGAAGAGCTTAGTTCTGTAGCGGCTTAACACACCATCTTCTAATGATGATTACAATTAGACGTATTAGATTTATTTGTCTGTTTGTATAAAAAAAGTTGTATCGAGTGTATCCATTAGTAGTCTAGTCCAAGCTCTGTTTAGTTTGGTGCTAAAATGTTCTGTAATACCATTAAACTTCAGATAGCACTGTTAAACCCAGTGTAAATAAGTAATACCCTCTCAGATAATGTGCGAAATGGGAAGATTTCCTAAATAAATAGTCGGCAGGCAATAGAAATTGTTATTTTAGATTGATCCTTAATTACTTAAGATACAAGCCTTGAAGTAAAGTGGATTGTATCTAACAATTAACAAAACTAATCGACGATTATTACAGATACCAGAAATAGGAATAATTTTTGAATGATTTTTATTCTAAAATACTATTTCGTAGCAAAGGACAAATAAAAGTCTATACCATACTTCTTATGTCATACTGCGTTTCTCAAATACTCACTAGCCGTTTTTAAAATCATCTTTGTTTCCAGGCACGAACGTGGCCTTTCGAAAACCAGCGAACCAATCCACCACCGTACGAGGTGGAGGTGCAGGCAACGGTAACGATGGTGAGAAGACAACTGAACACGATGGCAAGAGGTGTACAGAAACACAACGAGAAGCTTCACCTTGGTGGCAAGTGGATCTGCTCAGGCATTACGCAGTCAAAGTAGTCAGAGTCACGACTAGAGGATGTTGTGGTGAGTTTTGAAAGACCCTTACCTTAACCATTATATTACATTATAGTACATTCCTGCGCTTCAAGTATATACCACAAAAGACCTAAAAACACTTAATTTATCCTACCTCTTATATTGATTTTCCCTAGACTCAGATATTCCACCTGCCAAGCTACAAAGTTACGAGCAAAAAGTTTGTACCAAAAAGGATCAAGTCAAGTCGCAGATAGCGGATATTGTAGAAAGCATTGCAGAATCGGTATTTAATATTAGATACAGACTGAAATACCGATATGAAAGATACTTGATTCAGACTTAATAAATACGGAAATGACAAATATACACTTTAAATAAAATAAATATGAAATTAAAGAAACACGCACACACAATGCATACTCATATATAGATGCTTACCACTTTGTCTCTTAGCCTGTTCTTAGTTTTTTTAAGTTTAACTTTAATAAATTGCTTGAGCGATAAGATTGGCTTATATCGTTCACTCTATTAAATGTAATTCTTGTATTACATACTTTGTGCAAGAGTGAATAAATAAATAATGACAAATAAACAAAACATATCAGTCTTAATAACGACAAAAGTTAGACAGTTTTAGATAATTTGCCATGCAAGCGCTATCCTAACCGATTTGTGTCCAATTGTGCATCAATATTAAACTGGCATTTTTTTTAATATGTCCATTAATTAAAGTAAAGTATTGATCAGCTCATTACAGATAGAATTTGTGAATATTTTAAAAAAAGCACTTGTTTAATATTCCTCGCATCCGTGCACAATTGGTCACAAATTGGTCACATTTTGCAACAGCCGTCTTCGGCCGACATTGTCGCTTTGTTACTGCAATGATTGCTAAATATTGTTGTTAGCATTGTAGGTGGCAAATGAATATTCCACGATATTTTATGAGCAGATGTCAACCTCTTTTCTAAATAATATTTTCTATTATGTATAGTGATAATTTGACAAATAATACAACAGAGAGAAATATAAAGAGTTTTTTTTTTGCTACAACATACTACAACTACAAACCAGCATCGATTTTATTTAACTTTTCAATTGCCACTACTGACATCAAAGTGAATCCGTGCCAAATTAAAAGGCTCGACATGACATGTCCAATTAGTAGGTACAGAATTTATTGACATATCTCTTCTTTATTTATGCATCAAAACGAAATTTACAAAACGACTATTTTTAAAAGCATTTCACCTATATTTTTTCCAATAATAAAAAAAGATGCACCCGTTTTAGTTATATATCCTTTTTGATCAAGTTACAGTTGGTTTTTTTAAGTGATTTTACGATAGTGTTAATTAATTATTATCTGTATTAATTATTCTGTATCATTATTAACTTAACTTTTTTAATTACAGGGCATCAACCACTTCAAGATCTGGAGATTCGGGTGGGTAACAGTAGCTCAGACCTGCAACGAAACCCACTGTGTGCCTGGTTTCCCGGCACAATCGGTAAGTACCTAGGTACTATGTTTTATTTATATACAGTAAATCATTTTAGTATTTATTTATTGGACTAGAAAATGTAATACCACATAATAAATACGATCAACATTTGAAGTATAAATTTGTAATAAAAAAATGAACATCGTAATCGTTTTTCTTTGTAGCAATAAAATTAATAACAAGAATATTTTTTTATAAATAACTAAGAAACACCGACTAGTTTGAATCAATAAACACAAGATCAATTTGCAAACGTTTTTAACTATAAAGGCTTTATTTTTATTTCTACTTTGACGTCAAAGTAGAGAGAAAAATAAAATATGTTACAAATTGAAGTGTATATTCCCGCTTTCTCTTACTCAGCGAAGCCTAAAATGTATCAACGTACCTACTCGTAAATGTTAAAATATTTCAGTTACTGGTCTAAAAACGAATCTCTTAATTGGGACAACTACCGCTTTATTTTGGTCGTATTTTACTGTTGTTAACAGTGAAATTCTAGTTTTAGTAGCTGTAGCCGAGTATTCATTCAGTTCAAGCAGATTTAAAATAAAACACAAAGAGCATAAAACTGTTCATTTATATCACGTCCAGTGTTCTAAATAATTGTTCGAATTAATATTAAATGCTAATTTTCACCATCGTACTACCTGCCTGGACTAAAATGTCATCCTGCTTATATGGATTAATGATCATCCTCCACCATGCTATAATCCAAAATCTTTTTGCCTCGCATATCCACATTGTGGAATCACCTTCCAGCCATGATACGATATTAAAACCTTCAATAGAGCCGATTCAGACGGTTCAGCAACGACGCTATGCTATAAAAAAAATATACAGATTTAAGATCGTACGATATGCTGTAATAGGTATTGTATAGATCATATAAATAGTACTTAATGACACTGCTAACTTTTTTAGTTAATTTTTGCTACAAAGTAAATTTAAATGACTGAGAGAATCATGTAATTACTAAAATCTTATACGTGTAAAAATTAACAGATGTGTATTAAAATTCATGTAAATTATTGTAATGAAAATGAATACTGTACAGTAGACAACTCTTAGCAATAGCTCTTAGAAAATTAAAGAATGTTCGAACAATGCTTGGTACTAATCTATTAACACAGAGAAAATTGTATGACATGGAAAAGACCAGGTATCTTGGTCTGTGTTTAAACAAATAAGACTGTTGATTTTTTATTTATTATTTTAACTGGAATAACAAGCAGTGATAAAATAGACATGTTGAATGCACATGTTTTGAGAAATAATTCTTACTCACGTGTTAAATGTAAACATTGTGGAACTTATCGACAATTCATGGTGTATAAAGTAGGTCACTGAAGGGTTTCAATACCTATATTATTGTAATCGTCCTACTTTAAAAAAAATAGGTCAAAACAAAGGCGATGAAAGAAAAACCGCAATCTTTATGGAGCAAGTTCTTGTTAACTTATTCATAGACAACAAATTTGATTTTACAGTCTATCTATAAATCTTTTATGTTTTGAGTATCTATTATTTTCACACTCAATAATACTGTAATACTAATATCGGATGCTTGTAATGATTACAATCTCAATTTTAGTAGCTGATTTGATAAATTACCTACTAAATAGGTCAGGACCAGTTTCTACTATTATAAACTGGAATTTTGTATAGGTAATCATAGCATCTCTATGTTTACGTTTATGTTTTGTTAATAAATATAAAACAGCAATAAATTAAAATACTTTATCCTGTCATATACCACTATACAATGTTGCGAACATTAATAATTGTATCATAACAACAGTTAAGCTATTAGAAATTTTGCCAATAAACAATTATTTACCAGCAGAATTAAAAATGTACAAAAACAGTTTAAGTTTCCGTCATAAAACAATAATTGCAAATGTATTTATTTATTTGCACCACTATCATTGCAATCCTAAGCTCAATGCAATAGTCTATAATATTATATTATAACATATGTTAGGTATATCCAATACTATAATGTAACATATAACGTAATAACAAAGTTTAATGTAATTGAAGAAATTGGAGATAATTATGTCAGGAATATTGTAAAAATAATATGACCTACTTCAGTATTCGTTTTCCAAACTGTAATCTTGTATGAATCATAATAATTCCTAAATATAACTATTTCGATTAGAATTCTCTTATTAAAATCGCTGGAAAACATTACAAATCTCTGTATAGCAATTACCAGCTTGTAGCACAAACACGCAACCTCCTTTTTATAAGTCGATTTACAACATGTATTTATGTATCTCGTCGCTGCGTATAGCCCCAACTAGGGTCCCCGCTTTCCACTGGTTCCCATGATCACATGGTATACAAAGTGTGCAAGAGTCTGTGAATACAGCAACATGTTTTCCACTTTCTTTACGTCGTTGATAACTCTCACATATTTCTCACATTTTATTTCATATCCAACGAATTCAAATTTATATATGTCTATATGTATCTTAATAAATATTTTTATGGGGTTATATTTTATTTCATAAAATAATGTGGATGGGGTATATAGGGGTTGAAACTGTATGTAGATGAATTGGTTGGTAACTGCTATAAATAATAGTCGATTGCATTATGTATGCATCATTTAGCGCATCCATTAGTACAGAACTGCTGCACCTCTTTGACTAATTTTGATTTTTTTAACGCTGTAAGCATAATGTTTCCATGAAAACTAAACAGGTATAAAAGTATAACAAAAATGGACGGAAAGATAGGGACGAGGTTTCGGTAGTCTTGATTAATTTTGGTTTATATCGGTGTTATCCATAACTATATAGGAGAGTTACACAGAAATATAAATTATAACATTTTATGGATCTCTACTCAGTGTGAGTGGTATTGATATATTTCAAGTCATAAATAATGTAAATATATCAGGATATCCGGACAATTTACAAATATGTATTATATTTGTACATTACTTATAAGAACAAGTTGGTACTTCTCATCGACAATATACTTACAGTTATTTACTGAAGCACTCAGTATTGTTAACACGAAAGTATATTTATAGCAATGGACGCACGGATCATAGGAGATAATTAACTATTGGTGTACAGGATATGATATTATCTTATTCTGTAGAGAACTAGTTAGCAAGAATTGATACATTATATTAATAGAATATTCAATAGCAATTCAAGTATTTACTTCCAAACATTTACAAGATGGGAATATAAAAGAAATGTTTTTAGAGTATCATCTATTTTAAAAGAAGTATAAAAGTATCGTAAACAATAAATAGATAATATCAATAATTTTATTTTTATATTTCTTAATATTTACTATTTATTTACGCAAGAGGCGCTCTAGGAAGCTATCTAGGGCCCTCACTAATACTATTCCACTATTGCCACTAGTTTTAAGACCGTGCGTGTACATAATTTTACTCATACTTTAACTGTTCTTCGAATTTAGATGAAATTTGACCAGCAGCAGACTGGAATCCGCCACTGTATATCATAAGCCACAAATAATAGGTGGAAGGATATAAAAATATATTCTAACATTAGCTACGAATGAAAATAATGGAACATATATTTAATATTATTCTGCAACTTGTTATCAATTTCCATTTAGGTTGTTCCATTAGTTGAAAACATTGATATACACCCAAAAAGTTTCACATTCTACATGTATTCCATCCAATAGACTACTAGTGTACTAATTACAGTAATAACACCGAAATTATCCATTCACTCATTAATAAAAACATAAAGTGTGATATCCGCCATTAACCGGCAGTGGACAGCGCATCAAACGATTATATCGCGAAAGTTAAATTCAACTTGCACTTTCTAAACACGCCGCTCGTTTTCTATGATCGTTGTCAACAATTGATAATTCAAAACATTCCCACACCTAATAAAAGTGTTCGTGGTGTTAATAAGTTAGTTATGCGGACCAACTGTTACACCGTCGCGTAACGATGTTGTAATTATAATTGTTGCATCTCACGCTTGTGCCCGCGAACGACTCGACAAAGGTGTCGCGTTTGAGTAACGCTGTGATTATACCGTTTTTATTTCAAATTTACACATAATTATGTGTTTGTCTAAGTTTGTGTTTTACTACAACTAATTAATACTTTTATCAGTTAGATCTGCAATGTTATACAACGCTGGTTATATAGGTAATTATTGGAGTCAGTAGACCAAAATTGTATTATCTGTCGGAATCTGGAGCTGAATATAAAAACTTGACTCGGGCACTTGACTTGATTTATAAATATATATACATTCATGTATGTAACAACTTTATGTTAATACTGTATTATATAATTTAAAAAACTTATAATAAAATAAGGCTAGGAGTTACTCTAAAATTTAGAGACTATATGGTAATAAATGTTGATATATTAAATTTAATTTTACTTTAAATTTCGATTTATAAGTTATGTACATGTAATTTTAATTAAGTTGAGATCAATAAATATAATGTGTGCTGTTCATTCTCAGCTTGTTACTTCGTAAAAGTCAATATGGAAAAAAGCCTAGTACACCGGATAAAACAGAAACAAAATTGTTGTTGATCAACATAGTAATAATCGAGCATCCGGGTTCCAGCCCCGGATGTCACCATCTGAGAGGATATTATATTAAGTCATACATATATAATATCCTGCGATATATCCTCCTACGTGGTGACATCCGGCCCCAGATACGAACAACAATAATTAGATGCAATGTTAATGACAACAAAATCGTATACTTAATTGCTATCGATGTTGCAATGCTTAGCAAAGAATAAATTCGCAAATGTTAGCTTACCACACCTCTTTAGTGTTACAATTATTAAAAATTAATTTAATAACCATATAGACATATATAATTAGTTTTGTGAACCTACTACGAAACAGAACTGTTTTTCAAAGTGAGAATATTTTAATTTAATAAAATGTTACGTCATATCTTTATAAGATAAAAAATATTGGTTATCATATATTGTGTAAAGGGAGGACGACACATTTATTAGTGTGGCATGATAGGAGATAAACTCATGCACGCTATGCAGTTATGAGAAAAATGCAATAACAATAATGTATAATTCTCGTGTAGGAAGCTGTTGTAAGTTATATTGCATATAAGACGGCACGTTCTATAAACATGATTAGTGATGTTTCTTAGTCCTAGTGAAGGATCTTTTACTTTGCTGTAAAAAAACAGTTATGTAAATATTGCTGAAAGCAAACTTATACACTTATTATATATTTTATAGACAGATGTCAGGTGCACTTGTAACCGTTGGAAATCTGAAATTGACATGATACTAAGTAGCTATGAAAATACCTAGAAGTTAAAATTATTTATTGCGTAAGTATACTACTTACGTATCGATTTAAGTCAATTTTAATGGCTGCATACTTTGCACTGCTGTTACGCCAGACATAGTAACAACCTGAAATCTTTCAATTCTATATGAACGAAATAATTTTTCAAAAGCAATTGTGCAACAATCTGCAAAAAAATAAAACAAATACATAAAATATAAAGGGTTCAATGTTGATATTAATATTACCATACGTCAAACTATACATATAAATTCCTAGAGGTACAATATATAAAAATCCACTACAAAGTGAATATAACTAAGCTCACTGATAATATCTTAGCTATATGTAGCAACAAAGGTTTAGGTTAATAAGCCTTACTGGTCTTACATACATGTATCGGTTTTTTTAATCCGGGATTTGACCAGAGTAAGGCGTATTTATTCCTTTGAACGTCGTAGCCTAAGACATTTCAATGACTTCTAAGAACAATAATAAAGCAGTTTAATATCGTTTGACGACTTGTTCTAAAATGCTAATTAGTTCCATTGTCAAGCATCATGAAAATAATCCTTGTTCTGAATTCGTTCTGAATATTTTTATGTGTACATAATACGGTGCTTCACTAGTAGGTTAGTAGGTACTTAGCAGATTTTTTTTTATTTTAATATTCAGCTAAGGATTCGTTTACATTAATTACAATGTTGTTTATAACTTATTTTTAAACATATAATTGATTATGATTATAATGTGAATGATAATATATGGTTGCTTGATACAGATGAAGGAGTGACGAAAACATTTACATGCGCCAGGCCGTTAATAGGGCAGCACGTGTTCCTGCAGCTGGTCGGCGTGGAGGGCTCACTGTCACTCTGCGAAGTTGAGGTTTTCACCACTGAAGGTTAGTACTCCCAACATATTGCAGTCATCATTATATTCCTTCGCAATGGCAACGCATTACGAATACTACGGGCGTTACAAAAGGCGTGATATCCGCGGCTTACCTATATGGCAATCTAGTTACAAAATATATATTTGAAGGCACTCTTTTGTTATAGGTAATTAAACAAACAAGATTTGTATGCCATTGAATTAATAAGCCGGCTAAACTAAAAAATATCTACCAATACGAAGGTTTTTAATTGGGTTAATAATATTAATAAAGCATAAAAATTCACACAGCACGATTCACATAGTACACAACTAAATACAGCTTGAACTTAGTATTTAACAACTGATAAAAATATTTTTAATAAATATTTAAGCAAAATGTTTAATTAAATTAGGAACTATTAAATTCATTCATCTATTTCTACAGCCAAAAATATACTTTCTGAGGTATAATCACACATTTTAATAGTGACTTTTTCCCCAAGAATTCTCAAACGACCGTTGCGCGCCCACCAGTGCACCAGCCGACATCGAACTAGCAGCTTTCTCCAGAAATTGTTATGAATTCAACGTAGCCAAGGGAGGCTCTTTCGAGGATGCTCGCAAACAGTGTCAGTCCCACGGGGGTGATTTAATTCACGGTTTTCAGGTAACAATCAATTTACATGACTATATAATTAATTCTAATAATGCAGCATATGTTTCAAAGTTGCTAGAATTTGAGCAAAACGTAAAATGCTTAGGCACCAGCTACATTATCTCAGCTACGTCTACCGCATAGCAGCTTGCTTTGTAACCTTTATATTACGTTTAATAAGGTATTATGAGAATTTGAGAAATGACAGTGAAATTGTAGGGTAAGTACAAAAATAACTCTACATATGCCACAAAGACATGTGCGGATTTAATACCCACGATGCTATTTGTAATAATACATTGCAGACGATTCAGTTTCCATAAGATGGCCAATTATTAAGAATCCAATTACGAAAACAAAAAGTTTGCCTAGCAATATTTATTTGTACTATAATGAAATAATAAAAAATAAATGTTTAAGTTTTGAAATCCATTAAGCTACCTTAATTTTAATACAATACATGGGAAAATAATCTCCCATGAATAGTATACCTAGTGATATATATACAGCATCATTGAATGTGGAAAGCCGACTTTCCTCTCATTGTGATCTGATGAATGTTTTGCATAACAATAGGAACTGTATATCACAATGGACGGTGCTAATTGGAATATATTATATATACAAGTACAATGACAGTATCATGTTTTTATGTGAATAAATAATTGTTATAGGGTGCCACGTCAAGTTTTCTGATACAAGAACTAGAGAGGCGTAAAGCACAATTGAAGACACAACTGGTGTGGATTGGAGCGCAGAAAGAACCAGGCATTACTTCCAGGACTTGGAAATGGGTTAATGGTAAGCCATATCGTAAATAACCAACTCCTACTCTATTTTCATAAGATTTCATGATTTTTTTTATTTAATTAATTACGATCCTCATCAATGGATTTTTAACTAACATAAAAAAGCATTATTAGTGTACTTTTAATATGTGATACCTCAGAAGTATTCATTCGGATAATCGATAGAATGATTCTTTTTTTATTGAGCTTCTCATGTGGCCCCGTAAGAAGTTGATCAAGATTTTCAGTTATTCTTAATAATGCGACTAGAGTCCGTTTTTTCGTGACATTAACTGTCTTGTAATTTATTTATTATATATCTCTATAATACTCTACCAATTGTGTGCCAATTTCTCTACCCAGAGATGCAAGTATCCGTGAATGCGGAATGTTCACTATGCTTCAAACAACATACAGCTATGATGACCGAATTGCCGCGTGAATTTTCATAATCCGTGATTCATTTGCGCGTAAAATGGCAAAAAGCTTCGTGTTGTTGGTTTATACAATGTTCAAAGTGGTTATTTTACTCTGTTTTTATAAATCTATCCGTATTAAAAGTGTACTATTTGCTAGTAAATGTAAAACTAAGATAGTTTCTTGAGAGTCACCAACATATTAATATACTTGCCTTACTACATTTTTTTTAAAATAAGCTGATAAAGTTTTATTAAATTTGTAAGTTCATATATTAAAACATTTTTCAGGTGATTAAATAGAGAACAGAATGTTATGTTAATTCTATATAACTTCTGTAAAATCGGTTTGGTATTGATGAGCCAGTCAGTGACGATTTTAATAGGTATAATAATATAATTTAATTTAATGTACCAGGCGACGTGGTCTCCAAACCAACCTGGGGCAAGGACCAACCAAACAATTACAACGGCGAACAAAACTGCGTAGTGCTGGACGGTGGAAGGGCGTGGCTGTGGAATGACGTTGGCTGCAAACTGGACTATCTCCACTGGATCTGCCAGTACCGTGAGTGTCACCTTCATAGGTACATATCGTCCTTATTCTGATTGCCACGTGCGAATTTGCCATGCTGTGTAGTTGGGGATTCTCCATATATTTTTCTAAAATACTTCACTGGTGGCTACCCTTATTTTAATCACCAAGCACTCTGTTTCGTAAAATATGTTTAGGATAAAGGGTGATAAGGCAGTGAGTAGAATAAGGGAGCATGACTCGAAGTTTTTGGAGTGGCAACACATGGTATTTTCATATATTTATCATTTTTATAAATCATTATGTCATGTTAGGTTCAGCCTAATTTTTAATTTTTTAATTTTTAAGTTAATTAAAATCAGTTATTGTATTAAGAAGTAATAATTAAAAATGTATTATTACTGAATTCTTCTCTTTACGGAACTATAATTTACTGTAGGAATTTTGTTTCAAACTTTAACAATCTAAATACGGTCTTGTTATAATGTGTTTTTAATTTTCTGTGAAATATTTTCATAAATACTTAATCTAGTACTTACGCAATTTGCTAAACTATATTGTTTTCTACAATTTTCTTCACTAAGATTTATAATTGCCCTGCGAGAAATTATTATTACTTGAGCGTATCTTTCATTTTATTAACGAGCTAACTCATCGGAACAATTTTGTACATTTCGCTTGTTATTTCTGCCTTCATAGAACAATGTTTTACGATCTAGTCTAAGTATTAGGTATTAATTCAAATATTTTTAGAAATGGCAACACATCGCTGCAACACACATTGCCATTAGAATTTAATTCGATGTTTTTCATTAAAGAAGATTTACTATTCTTAGAAAGACGACTTAGTCTATTTATTCTTTGTAACATGAAAAACATATTCCATAATCCTTCTTATGGGATAAGTTCGCCATCATCTTAATTAAGAGCCTTTGTCTTTTAGTTTCTTTACTGTAGGCACTGTAACGTAGTACAAAGAAACATAAGCTACTTTTGTTTTAACGAAAGAACGAATGTTAACTAAACCAAACTATACGCATTCTAATATTGAATAAAGCCAACTCAAACGTGCTGGCTTTCTACGCGTATTAGACACGTCAGTACTCTCACGAATTTGCTGTGAGCAGATCATTAGCATTTAGCATTTATAATTTATTAATTATAAATTCTAAATGCTAACGATATGAAACGCGACAACATTTCTCTATGTAAATTAAAGGTAAATCGCCCTTAATGCTTATTGGTATTGCATCACTAAACTTGTTGAAGAAACACAATTTGAGCTGGTATAACGAAATATGTATTTATTTATTTATTTATTCTTTTGCACACAAAATTGTATACATGGCGGACTTAATGCCTGATGGCATTCTCTACCAGTCAACCGACGCGTTGATCAGAGATAGTATAGCGGTGCAATTTTACAAGTATTAAATAGCTTAATTCAGAAAAAATAAATATATATATATATATAAACGTACAAATATACTTCTAAAATTATATAATTACATAAAAAAAAGCGAAATATATATAAGCTTAATAATTATCATACAATTTAAATATAATATTAAACTATAATAAATATACAATATATATGATTTCATGACATATATCTTGAGACAGTGGTTTGTGTGAATATTGATACAAGAATTTCGAGTAGTGTTCACGCAAGGATCTCTTTAAGGAAAATTTGGTTTGACATCTTCTGAGGCCAACAGGAAGTGCATTCTAAAGATTAATAGCAGAAATAGTGAAGGATTGGGATGAGAAGTTAGAACGATGAGAAGGAGTATACAGCAAGAGATTAGAAGATGAGCGAAGATCACGAGAGTGTGATGAACTTAGAAATAGAAATCTATCTTTGAGATACCGAGGAGCTAGTGGATCGTATAGGACAGAAAAGAGTTGACAGAGAATTCTAACACTCCTGCGCTGGCGGATAGAAAGCCATTTCAGCTCAGAGCGGAAGTGTGAGATATGGTCATACTTACGAAGACCAAATATGAAGCGTATGCAATTATTGAGTAAACGACCCATTTTATTTAGAAGGTCTTGGTTAAGATTCGGATAGCACACATCACCATAGTCAATTATAGGCAATATCAGTGACTGCATGTATCTATGTGGATAACATTTAAACACGGATTAAAACCAAATACGGGGAACTACGTTAGACGGATAATGTATAAGTTATAATTATAAAGCGAAATGATTTGTTTGTATCCAATACAAATGCAAAAGCAACAATAATATTAAACGAATTTTTTTAATTTTCTTAATTTCTTAATTATTTTACAATTAAATAATTGCGTTATCGGTGAAAATAGTTTCGTAACCTATTATAACTCGATATATCCGTGGTCTATAGTTAGTGTAGTATGAATATATGTAGGTATGTGATCTAATTGACGTAATATGTATAAGATGGTGGACAGAAATGTTATACATTTTAAATGACGAAGCGAGTACTTCGTCTATTCCTTGGGTTTTCACTTTACTACACGAACTTTCCGGATTAATCTTATCAGAAATTATCTTATCCTAGCTGGCGTCTAAAGTTTTTAATTCCAAGAGCTTCTTTTATTAACTGTCGTAATCTTTTATGCCAATATAATATTTTAATAATGAAACATTAATTTCTATTAATCTCTCTCTTTCCTGTCGATAAGGTATACTTACATACATATGTAGATGTTTGTGGGAAGTACTTAAATGTAGCAAACTTTAGTATAAGTTCCTTTTACAATCCTAAAAGCCAATATACTTAATATCAGACACACATAATAACTACGTACCTACTACATTTTGAATTTAGAATGCAGTGTAGATACTGTGTAACAATAAAAGAAGTGATTACCAGCACTTCTTTTGTTTCTAAATAAAATCTATGTTTCATTGCTTACCTACAGTTGTTTATTTATTATGTTGCAACACCATTCCCTTCATACTTCTGAAATGGGAGCGTGTCATGGTCGTATAAACTTTACCAACACTGCCAAAGCGAAATATAAACAAAAAAAGCATATCGATTGATTTACAGATTGCTGGCATGTACTGATATGGTACGAATATATCGATACATTCTCAGCGTTGCGACTGTACTCGGTTTCGAGATATAATAACAATTTTACACCATTCGCCTTTCAATATAAGATGTATTCTTGTTCAACAGTGCCCTCGTCTTGCGGGAGTCCAGATAAACTTCTAAACACTACCATCGAGGGTACAAATTACCACGTGGGTTCTTCAATACAGTACAAGTGTCCTGAGGGTCATATGTTGTTGGGAGATGAGTCGAGGGAGTGCAAATCTGATGGATTTTGGTCGGGGTCAGCACCCAGCTGTAAATGTAAGTAAAAGTAAACCATCTTCTGTAGAATAAACTTATATTACATCATTAAGTAATGACACAATTTTATAACTTTACCAACAGAGATATATACAACGCTTAGATGTGTAAATAAGTTAATAGTATACGGAACTACTAGAAATAATCTATCATATTTATTGTTACCTAACCAATATTGGCTACATAATTCACTGTTTGTGAGAGTATGGTATATGGTGTTGAAACTGCCGTATTCACTATTATTTTGTATATTTATGGTCGTAGGTACAATATCAGTCAGACACCTACTAGGTATAAGTACAATTTAAATAAAAGTACGTGAACGTACTTCTGTAGTGCGCATCAAAAATATATTTAATATAATATTATGATTTATTAAGAAACAAAAACGATTAAATAATAAACAGTTTCGCTTAAATGGTGTTCTTGACCTGATGTCATTATGAAATACTTTTTACAGATGTAAACTGTGGTAGCATAACTCCGATACAAGATGGCGATCTCACCTTAGTGAATAGTCGAACGACACACGGCGCCAAAGCTCTGTACACGTGCAGAGAAAATTATACGTTAGTTGGAGAACCGGAGAGAGTATGTGGCAACGAAGGTTTATGGACTGGGGAGCCGCCAAAATGTTTGTTCGACTGGTGTCCGGACCCACCACCTGTAGCAGGAGCCGTTGTCGCAGTTGGTGGTCACAAGGCAGGCGATCTCGCCACTTATGCGTGTCAAAATGGATTCATACTCTTCGGATCACCGGTAAGTTATTTGAAAACTCCAAATAGGTAACCTATTTGGGTTAACATTATGATGAGACGCAACAAACCGTTTTAGTAGCATATAGTAAAAACTTCGATCTTCCCTTCATAGTGATTTGTAGGTGGCGCGTGCCTTTAAACCATTTTATACAATTTCGTGAGAGCAATAACCAAAAATATAATTGAAATTTTAGAATCAACACAGACAATCCTCTCCTCAATAAATATTCAACAAAAGTGTAACATTGTTATTTGGTTTCATTTTTTATGTAATTGGAATAGCAAACAACAAGCCGATCTGATTGAAAGTGTTAACCATCGCACAGGTATTTACATAAATAGAATCACGAACTTTGCAAAATATATTGTGACCGTCATAGTTTTGCCATTCCTGATATAAAAACAAAAACCGACGTCTAAATTGCGCTGTGTTACACAAGAAATCGACTACATAAGATCGTTCTCATTCCTGATGATTATATTGACATGCCTTCTTACCTTGTAACTTCTCTGCTATATCATATCTGTTGCTTCATTTATCCTGGAAACACTGAATACAATGTAAGCTGTTAGCGGTAAATAAATATAAAGATATTTCAAACAATAGGTGCAGACTACAGACCACTTTCACTTGTAATTCTGTCCCGTGACCTTCGTGAACGCTGCACGAGATCTGTTAATTTCTACAAGGTCGCTTTTTATGCGCCTTTTTTTATCTCAAGATTTATTTTACTTTTCAAGTATTTATTATTACAATTAACTATTTATAAATAATTAAACTGTTTGTAGAATTCTTAAATTTGAATATACTAACTACTATATGTATACTAAACATTAAAATATGATTAAATAACTCTTTAATTTATTAATATTCAACAGATATTAAAGAAAAATAAAATATTGTTTTGAGAAGCCAGACGTTTGTACTCAATAGAATACTAAAACTTTTGCTTTTTTTCTAAAACTAATTAATTTCTAACATAGTTTAATTAACATTACAGAGTGTAACGTGCACACTCGGAGGGCTGTGGTCAGGCACACCTCCATCTTGCAAATACGTAGACTGCGGGACACCAGCTCAAGTCCACAAGGGGTCCTTCAGGCTTCTAAATGGTACCACGACTTACGGCTCGGTGGTGCAGTTCAGCTGCGAAACTGATTACTGGCTAGATGGCGCTGAATCCCTCACTTGTAACCGCGACGGAAAATGGTCACACGACATACCTTCCTGCGAATGTGAGTTTTATAATTTATATATATATATTGTATCAATATAATAAAATATATATTCAATTCGGTAGAACCGCTGACACTTTGGGATACCCAGCTTATGTAAGATGATCACACACTTCAGTCTTTGTGAAAAGATCCGGCTATATGCAAGTAGTGCTTGGTCTATACCTACTACTATACCAAGAACTACTTACGTATAGTCGGATCGTCATTGTAAAAGACATATTTATAAACTACTTGATTTCGTAACAAACAACACTTATTAATTTTTTTGAACAGCTATTAACCTTCTTTTGTTTATTAACTAATTGTAATTAAACGAATATAAAATTTCAAATTAAGACAAAAGTATTCAAAATTAAGGATTTATTTTATCAGATCAGTTACATTTTTATTCTACATATATAATATAGATAGTATTATTAGTGTTATAGCAAGGTTGATATAGTTTCAAGGATTGAACCTTTTTGGTCAAGAAAACAAAAAAAATGAATGTGAAATTTATTTTCAATTATATCTTTTTGACCAATCCTGCATAATTAATTAAATGCTTTATTATCTTTGTATTAATTTAGTATTTCGTATATATTTATTTCATGTTCCGTGCAGAGTTATTATAATCATCACATCACGCCGTAACTTCTTTACGATTATAATCGATTTAATTTATCTTTTGTAAGTAACTTTTCCATGTACAATTTTAATATATTTTCCAATGAGTTTCTAGGTTTTACAGAACGAATAATATCAAGAAAATTGTGCAGACAATTGGAAATTTTTCAGAGAACTTAAGGACTGTTTTAACAGTTCGCTTTAGCTAGACGACTTTAACTATTCCGCTTTTGTCAGTTTGCATATTTGCTGACAATTCGCGCATTCAATAAGACAGCACGTCTATCGGAACAGCTAGTTTTCAATAGTTTCAACCGATCGTTGGACATAAAATGTCTTTTTAATTCATGTATCTTCTTTGATTTATAGTAACAAAAATGATGTCAGGATGTACTTGTTTACAGTGATATCTTGCCTGGACCCTGAAGTACCAGCTGGTGGTTACATGGAGGGGTACGACTATAATGTCCACTCTACGGTCTACTTCCACTGCGAGAAAGGTCACAAACTGATAGGTCATCAGAGGCTGACTTGTCAACAAGATGGGGAGTGGTCAGGCGACTATCCACTATGCGAATGTAAGTATTTGATATCCTAACTACGAACTTTGTTATCCTACCATGCCGTAGCTTAAACAATCATCATAAAATTTGGAACATGTATGTGATTAAGAAGCATTTACGATCTAGATCTAGTTCTCAGCCTGCTTCGCACGGTAAAAACATTTATTCATTAATATAATTGATTTAATTTATTTAAGTGTTTTCTATGTATGTTGTATTTAAAAAAAAATATTCAGTTTTTCTACCAGTTGTCCAGTACCCATAACACAAGCTCTGCTTATCTTGGGACTAGAAGGCGCCGTGTGAATTGGCCTGTGTTATTATTATTGCTTAGGCTACTTTAGACTATAGTTACATAGAAGAACTCACGATTAAATCTAACGTGTATTATATAACTACCTGAAACCTGCGAACTAGTCGCTTTTTTTTAAATAAAAGTGCTCACGACGACGGACTCTGCTACAAAACATATCTTCATTATTATTATATAGTAAATTTCAATAAGATGGGATGTGAAAATTTTAAAAATACATTTTTGCATATATAATATTAGTAGGCATGGCATGATTTTGCCGTGATTGATGATTCTTATGACATAACGATGTTAATACGTATCATACAAGTAAGAATGAAAATAATACTGAATACTGGGGTATCTTATTTGCTTCAGGCATGGTGATCAATCTATTAAGTCTGGCTACGAGATTTTTTACTTAGAGTTTTTTTAATATATCATATCGATCACAATTGAATAGTTTATTAGTAGTAGACATAATTGATCGATGTGACAAATAATTATTCTATCGAGTGATAAACTCGATTTTAATGAAATATAGAAATGTGGTCTTTTAATCTTATATTTTAAGATGGAAGACGGATGTTATAACGCCATTCTCTATATGTATAATTGATTTATGGATCAGATTGAAAAATATATGATTTTTATATAAATACTTACTAAGGCCACTAATGTGAAACTGTGTTTGTTCGTCTCTCCTATCTACTACTATATATCTTATGAAACTGCTTCTTACCTGCGATTTTGTCCGCTTTTTTGAGATAAAAGGTAATCTATATCCATCAAAGTGATACAATCGATTTTCACGCCAAATTACATTAACAGCCGTTTACTCATGAAGAGACAATAAACATGTAGACAGACACACTTCTGCATTTATAAAATTGGTATAGATACGATTGTATGTATACTTATTAGAAGAATAGGTGCTTTTGTCTCAGCGCTAAACGCTTAGGAAACTGTATATGAAAGATGAGATAAGACTGTGAATTCAGTGGTTCGAAACTAACTAAACTTAGGTATACAACAACAAAGGAACCAGTGATTATAGTTGTAATTTGTAATATCCGTGATATTCGTCAAACAAAATTTTTGATTCAATTTATTTATCAAATTACAATATTTTTAAAACAGATGTGGATTGTGGGAAACTACCTCCATTACCATACGGAACGGCGGAGTTATTGAATGCAACCACCCATCTTGGCAGCATCATACAGTACTCCTGTACTACCAATTACCGTCTCGTGGGCCCCGTGAGAAGGGTCTGTACAGAGGACCACCAGTGGAGTGAGAGCTCACCAAGATGCGAGGGTAACATACATTAAAAAAACCATCGAATAAGACCACAATTTTATAAAGTATTTACATGAGTGATAATCTAACCTTTAATGTCAGTTCTCATTCCAATCCATAATTATTCAGTCAAAAAACGAAGACTTTCATATTTTTGCAGACGTACCGTTATAGCATATTTACAATATTTTCCAGAAATTCGCTGTCCCGATCCCGTAGTAGCCGAGAACAGCATTGTGTCGGTCACAGGCAATGATAGAATGCACGGACGCACCCTTATAAGGACTTCAGTCAGTACCAATTCCGGCAACACTTATCGTATCGGAGCTCTTGTCAAGTACAGATGCGAGAGAGGCTACAAAGTTGTTGGGGAGAGTCTCTCCACCTGCGAAGATGGTCAATGGAGCGGAGTCACGCCTCGATGTCAATGTAAATATTTTTCAGTCAATTAGCATTATGGTACAGTGGTTTACTATTTTAACTATTAAACAAAGGTCTTTCAAATTCAAATTCGAATTCAAAAATCATTTATATATTATCTGCTTATGAACGTCAAATGTATTGTATGTATTGTATTTTTGAGAGTTAATAACATATTATGTTTAACAGATGTGGACTGCGGTAATCCTGGTCGCCTGGAGAACGGCAAGGTGACGCTGGCTACCAATGCAACATACTACGGTGCCACAGCCCTATATGAATGCGAGGAACATTGGCAGTTGAACGGTGTCTCTAGGCGACTTTGTCAGGATAATGGCACGTGGAGTTCTGAAGCGCCAGTCTGTAATGGTTAGTGTACTTATTTCATTTCTCAAAGCCAGAACCTCTCCTTGTACTATGTTCTGAAAATTTATTCTCCTACATATTCATTTATTTTATCTCACATATTCATAATTTTATTTCTTATGTTTGTTTGATATTTTGTTCTAGCTGATTTTTGCATTTTAGACAATTTCACTTTCTTTATTGTATACAATTTATCTCGGCCATATTGTATAATATTCAAAATGCAAATTCATACAAAGGCATTTCATAATTAGTTTTAGACTCAAATTTTTCTTTGTACGTAATGTAAAAATTTATTATTTAATTTAGCCAAATTTATTAGGTATATAATAAATGTAAAAATGATTTATGTATAACCATGTTATTCTAAAAAAAATACGTAAAATTGTTTCGTAACTTTTTTCCCTTAACTTTGAAAATTATTATTTATTTTTCAGAAATCACGTGCGTGGATCCTTCTATCCAAATCAAGGGAAGCACAGGCCTTATAGTAGTGACATCAACACTCAGCATAGGTGGTGAGGCACACTACCGCTGTGAGCGAGGTTACAGCCTGAAAGGAAACCAAACGAGGACTTGCTTGCCTCGCGGACAGTGGAATGGCGCACCACCTGTATGCATTCGTAAGTTATATGAAAAATCTTTATAACAAACAAATAATTATAAACCTGAACAAATCACATAACGCTATATATTACCCATAACACAAACTCTGCTTGACGTGGGTTGTTAAACAGACGTGAGATGTTTTCTAGTACCCATAAGGGAAAGAAAAATAAAATTCTATCAGTTGTCAGTATACCCCCATACAACTAATAGAAATTTATTTTTTAACTGATTCTAATACAATGTCTGTGAATCCATATATATGCTATATATAGTAAATTACATACAGTTTAGTTTTTATAAACAAGTGATCATGGATTAATGCTCCTGTTTATGCACCCTATACGGTAGCGAAGTAGTCCTCTATACTGATAGGATGACAAATAACTTAATTATGTTCTTTCATGACTATACGGCTCAACGAATCATGAAATTTGATGTGTAGGTAGATTGTATTAAGAGGATGGACATATGCGTCCATAATTACAAAAGAAGTCGCGAGATAGAGCTCTTTTATTATTTATTACTGTTACCCGTTACTTCGTTTGCTAATCGGATGCTGATGCTATCATGTATTCATCCTCTATTTCACACCCTTCTTAATTATTTTTAGAGATAATAGACAGCGTATATTCGTCGTCGTATTCTATCTTCGTCTATCTATTCTGATGTCTAATTTCATTATTAGCCGTTCAACCGTAAAGAGATAACCAGTCAGTCACACTTTAGATTTTATAATATTATTATGAAGTATAAATAATAACTAGAAGTGTACTTATCTGTGATTTAAATGTATTATTAATGTTCACAGCTATCGACTGCAAATCTCCAGGCCAGATCGACAATGGACGCATAATAATATCAAACAGTTCAACTCTCTTTGGTAGCTCTATAGAATATCACTGTCTACCTCAATACCAGAGAGTCGGGCCTTTCCTTCGCAAGTGTCTGGATGATGGTAGATGGTCCGGTGAAGAGCCAAGCTGCGAACTGGCTACAAATGAAGCGGCTGAGAGTGGCACTCTGCCACTGAGCGTCGGGGTCGGATGTGGAGTGGTTCTGTTCTTACTCTTGTTATTGGGAATCATCTATTTAAGACTGTAAGTAATATATTGCTTTCATGGCTTTGGTAAATACAATTTAGTTTTTACAGACATCTTTGTTTTTTGGAATCCCATCGCATGAAAAAATGATGTTTGGAATCCCATCGCATGAAAAAATGATAACTAATTGATTACTATTTTTCAGGCGAAAAGCAACACCAGTTAAAAACACTGAAAACATTGAAGGCGCAGAGCGGAAAGAGGACGCGAATGCTGCCGTAATGAGTTATGCGACGCTTCACGACACAAACGGCCGCCATATTTACGACCACGTGACTGACAATGTATACGACTCGCCGTATAGCGAGAGAATAGCCGACAACGCCGAGTATGGCCGGAGGAGCGACACGGATTCCGCCTACGAACCAGAGCCAACAGGGCCGAACGCTGTCGTCACGATCAACGGCGTTGCTGTCCGTTGATTACAGTGCAATTGTTTTGGTGCAGTGAATAAACATTGAGTCATACTGCTTAAGGAATAACGAGCCTGTTATTTTTTTTCATTCTAAGCGTGTACATAGGTGACCATACAATATGGTGTATTAGAGACAATAAATTATGTCCTGTGTCATAAACCTTATTGATGTTATATTTAGGTTCCTGTGAATTGAGTCAATATTGCAATTTGCACTCGTTACTAAATTTGTCACAGCGGTTACCATTTTGTCTTAAACTCCAATGTTCAAACTGACAAATATGAGTAGTATTAAGTGTAGATTTTTTAATTGGTTAAGTGTTTAAATTAAGACATGTCGACGGTAATGATGCATCCCACATCACATCACCAACACTTACTAGGTATTGAACCAAAGATGTAAATGAGTTGGAATTGTACTTTTTAGATATGTGTATTTAATACTTGAGGTTGCAATTCTTTGCTTTAATAATTACATTAAATTATATAATTTTTTTAGTTTCCGATCAAGAATTATTAATTAACGATATTTTATTAAATAGCAAAAAGAATTGCAGCCTTAGTCAATAATGCTTTTAATTCATAATAAAAATATTACATGTTCTGAATTGAGAGTAAATGTTGTAGTTTAAGAAAAAACATATATACCTACAATGTATTTATTTTGTTCGGTGTAGCTTTCTAATTTTTTATTTAATGTAGTAATTGATACCAAATCTGCTACTGCTTCGCTATTAATATCAATAAGCAAATATAAATATTGTTCCTTTTTTATTGTTCTACTGGCACATTTATTTATACATATATCTTATTTTTACACGTTTCTTCTAACTTTATCTTCTCTTTATGCCAATTATATTTTACTTCTTCGCTTTTTTTTACATATTTATTTATACATTCTACTTTTGACTGCTTCGGTTTAAATTCCAATATGTAACAATATTATGTATGAATTTTCTTTATTCATATTTTTATACACTTACATTTTTTAAATATTTTCAATCAAACAGATTCTGGATATAGTTTACATACGTATTTAATTTAGGTAACTTATTTATAATTTAATCGATTTGTGATTTTAAGTACCTATTAGGGTCGAATATGAAATTTTATAAAATATTATTCTTATCACCCATATTATTATCATGAAATTAACAATGAAATATCAACATTACATGTTTACTTAATTTTTGGGTCGGCAACGCGCACGTATTTCAGGCGTTTAGGCTACGGTAAACATTTACCATCAGATGGGCCGTATGCTTGATTGCCACCATCGTAGTATAAAAAAATACTATATTTAATGTATGTAATTAATATGGTACGAAGAGGACAATATTACTTATAATACCTGAAATAACATTATATCTATAACAACAAAATCCTTTGCATTTCATTGAGAAAATAAGTATATGCATAATATTAACTGATATTTTTATTTGATTTATTAAATAAGGTGATATCGTTCCATTTTATCTATGCTTTGGTTTGTAAATATAATTAGAAACTATTTAGCTACTTAATATTAGATATATTTTTACCAGGTTTCACTGCCAAAATTTTATAACTATCATGTTTATTCAAATACTATATACCAACATCTAACAGATATATTAGGATAATCATTGTGTTTATACTGAAAGTATTGATGTGTGTAAATGAGTTATAGTGATTACAAATCTACTGACTGTATGTATTTTAGAAACTAAATTGCATTTCGTAAATTATAAATCCGATTAATATCAGTATACAAAAAAATTTGTAGATAAAACAAATTATAATTGAAATAGTTATATTTATCAATCATGACGATTTTAACTCATAACCAGTATATAACAAAATTAGAAATAATTTACATATATCTATTATTTTCAATAACAAAAATATTAATGTATGTTTCGTATGTGCCTTAATTATTCTTGAGTCTGTCATTTGTATTTCCTTGTTAAAATTAAGTTATGTATATAAATAATTAGCGTAGTAGTTCTGATTTTCAAATGCAGCGAACATTAAAATGTGATTATAATAAAAATGTATTATGTTCAATGTCTAGAACAATATATTATAGAATATTATTATTTTGTTATACTTTTGTATATGTACAATATAAAACTTATACTTATCACTTTCGTTAAATAAATGTCTCAAATGTAATGGTATTTTTTAACAGACCTTTCAGATTGAGTGGCTCAGAATTATAGAGTTTAAAACTTAGTCTCTGAACCAACTATTCTTGGTAGATATCAACCATAAATAATTGGTTGATATCTGTGATCGTTTAACGATGGTCAAAATCACCGATACATTTACTTTCTTTCGATTTCATAAGTTACAGAATAAGGTATGAGGAAGTAAATGTACAATATATAGTCCAACTAATGTAATATTACTAATAAAGAAAACAGTATTTTCCCAACTTCATTTATTGTATAAAATTGACATAAGACACCGAAAGACAAAATAACATGATACAAGTTTTGACTCGCTTTACAGTGATATATATATATATATATTTACAAATTTAATAAATACATTGTTATCTATTATTTTTTTAATCTGTAGCAACTTGAACGATATGCACTGCGTTTAGCAGGATCAAGTAAAATAAATATTCTGAATAATAATTAATATTTTTAATAGACGTCTATGTAATTTATCCATGATATTAATCTTGATTAAGTTTTAACAAAAGTAGGCCCCATACATAGTATCTACTTATTTATACTTAGTAGATTGGTTTAGGACATATATCGTATTTAATATACCTACAAGTTTTGGATGTATTCGAGCTTAGTTATTACAATAAATAGACTTGTATTAAATTTTACTATAATATTTCAACTATTTCACATTAAACTAATTTATGAATACGATATAGGCCATGGACATTTTATAGATTACGTTCAACACTATCGATATTTACGCAGTATAAATTTATAGTTAACTAATTTAATTTACACAATTTAAATTATATATACGAGATACCTATATATGAGTCAACATCAATTACGTTCTACCTAGCTAATGCTTCCAATAATGTAATAGAATAATTCTTATATTTTTATTATTGTTCTCGTCCCATTAGTGAGACGAATGAGACATCATTCGTCTCATTAGGTATATATTATTGTTCTCGTCCAATAACTACCGATCACAAATTCATCATTCTTTTAAACAGTACAATATATTTATACACATATCTAGTTAATTGTAAATAATATATAAAAAAGAGCTTAGATGTTAAATTAAAAAGTGTAATTTGTGGGATCACACTTTAGACAAAAATATATTTGGGTTTGGTCTCATATCTTCAAATAGTATATATATATATTCTATATCCATTTATATTTTAACAGATAGACATGATTATGAGTAATCATATCTATCACTTTCTCTCTATTTATTGAGGGACTCGGTTACAATATTGGCAATGTTTTTGGAAACGTACATATGTAAGTATTATAAACGTATGTATTTTTCAATATATCGATGTTATTTATGTGATACCAACAATAAAAAAAATTACCGCTAATTCATTGTAATACGACACCATAATATTTATGAGAGCTGTTACAGTAAAAAATCGAATACTTTCAACTTAAACCTTCGATAATGGCGTAAAAGATAAAACTATCGAACAAAGTGGAAACCATGGGATACCACGATTCAAGATATTTTTAACAATTCATTTAACACATCTGATATCAACTATGTGATGCGGCTTTGTTGTGATCTCGCATCGCATTCGCTTTTTAAATCAGACTATAGATATAATACAGATTATAATGCAGTGAAGTTAATAAAGAACAGAGACTATAAATTAGTTCGTAACAATAGAGTCGTAAAGGACTGTAGTAATAGCTGAATACATATATAAAAAGGATCTAATGTTCTATTAGATATCTATACAACGTAATAATTACATATAATCTTACTAAATTCATCAAGATTAGGCCACAAAATGCGCTTATTCTTATATCTATAACGCTTTATTTAGGTAATAAACTTTTATAGTCTTCTCTTATAATATAAGGGAAGACTATAGCAGGCTTATACGAACCTAGCTTTCCTATATCAAATTATTTATTTCCAAAGTTATCAATTTTATATGCAATGAATGGATAACTAACAACATAAAATAACTGAAACAAACTAATGGGAATAGAAAACAAATATCTAAAAAAAGGTATAAGAACAAAAAGAAACGAACAAATAAATTAATGAAGAAGTTTATTTTAACTCTTACGTGTCGAAATAAATAAAAACTTTATTGAACATAATTTTAGGACCGCTAAGTCAAGCAGACAACAAAATTACAAAATACTTTACTTTACAAAATAGTTTACGAAGATCATTCCACATCTATATAAAAATTAACATCGCATTATAAATCTAAGTAATATTTGATCAAAAGCATGCATTTGTTGACGTTCATTTGAGATTATAACTCAATAATTTACAAGGCCTAATATATGTAGTAACTCCATTATTTAGCACATAAGGTAACAACGCATTTACCCCTGCAACAAACGAGGTAAATCATGTTTTAACATCACACGCCACCGTCTGGTGTGCATTGTGCTTAACTATTTAGGAAATATTGTGACTGTCGTAGGATTTCTAGGAAAGGTATGTTAAGATAGCATTCCGAAAACAGAAACAGTTAGTCTACAAGATAAAACAATGCTGTTAATTTGCACAGATTTATGTGCAAGTGAGTAAGTACGCACCCGCACGCTAGTACAAGTGCGTACTCACACGCTGTCACTATGTTTGGAATGCTGCCTTAATTTTTATTTCATAGTCTTCTAATATGCGACCTATATAAAGTTAACTACAACGCATAGGTACTAGACAAATACAATTAAACCTATTGGGGCATTTACATTTGCAGTGAGGAACAAATCATGGGCACATTGAGTTATTGAATAAAATATACTTATACGTAATAATATATATATATTTTTTAACCTCTAAGGACCTATAAATAAATAATAGAACTCCATTTCTAGGCCTCAATATATTAAGATTCGGTTGTAAATATTAATATCAACTAGTTTCTGCTCGTGAATTAGCATAAACAAAACATCATTATGTTCGCAATCCAATGAATATTTAGGGGATTTATGGGACAAACTTTAAGAATGGCAAGCACACTTATAAGCCACGTGATTGGAAGTCATAACGTCGTCGTCTGTAACGTTATGAATCATATGAAGAAATCCATGGAAACCATGATACGGTATTCATGGTTCTCCTCATACTATGCCACTCCTCTTAACTAAGCAGATTAAAGTCTGCTATGTTTTTAATTGACTTACAATGCTCTTATATAAGTACAATTACATTCAAATACGTTAACACGTTTCGTTACCTATACGTTATTAAATAATATCTTTGCATTTTAAATATGATATTCCTTCTCAAAAATGCAATTTTCATACTGTTGTCAATATATTTTTTAAAAATTAGCTGGTTACAATAATAGTGTTATAATCAGGGTTCGAAAGTCCAGATATTATTTATATATTTTGATGATTCTCTTCAATCAAAAAGCTTTAACCAGGTCAAAGTACATTAATGTACATGCATATGATGAGAAATCATAAGACTTAGGTTTGGTTTAAAGTTTCCCGTGCTAAAACGAATCTACTAACGTACAAACAGAAAATAAATTGTTTAGTATAACCTATAACTATCCTTCAAGACATTTCATATAATTATTTCATCATTCCATAATACATTGCAATTATTATATAACAAGTCTTCTAGTTTCCAATTATATTAATTTTCATAACAATTGTCAATTGATTGAACATAAAATATAATTCAAAATTAATCCATTATTTGGTCAGAGGTCTATATATGAAAAAAAAAACGAATATTGGCAATCTTGGATCTACTTTTTACTAATAAAGGCATTTCAAATTGTTAATCAAATAGAATCAATGTACAAGATTATGGCAACCAACTGCTATTCTTTGAAATTACTTCAATAGTAAGTATTGTTGTCCATTGTTTCAAGTCTCTATTTATAAAAATCATGTTATTTAGCGAATAATGACTAATTTGACATCACGTCAAACATGAGGTCAAATCCACACAAAATATTGATTTTTACAAATTAAATACAGACCGAACATATTCATTCATAAATATACAATACAGGGGAACTGTCCAAAAGTAAATAATTTATCGCGCACGAGACACAAGATACACGGTACAAATTTTTTTCAAGTCAAGTTGTAAAAATATATTGCTATTATAGAAATAACAAAATTAATAATTCATCATAATTTATTGTTAAATATATTAATTAGTAAAATATGATAATAATTGTGTCTTATTACATTAATCCTTACTAACATAAAAGCCGAACTTAACTTTGCCTGTCTGTCTAGCTTTCACACCTATACAATTGAATCTATTTAAATGAAATTTGGTACACAAATATTCTAGACCCTGAGAAGGGACACATATTGGCTTTCAATCATTGAATGAGAAAAAAATGTTGTAATGGGTTGAAAGGGGAGATGAAAGATTGTATGTAAGAATCTTAATTTTCAAAGCTAGAAGCTTGAAAATTATATTTTAGGATGTTGATTAAATATAAATAAATAAAAAAGGATTGTAATTAATTGAAAGGGGTGATGATAGATTTTTAAAACTACAAGCTTGAAAATGATGTTTTATGCCGTTGATTAAATATAAATAAATATGACATTCAAAGTTTGTATAAATGCTATCCTTAAGGGGGTAATATAAAACAGGGGACGAAAGTTTGTATGGAAAATCGTCATTATTGAAGCTAGTACTTTGAAACTTTCTTCTTTGTATTTTTGGGTTAGATTATTGAATATTTTATTTTTATTTGGTCAAGGTAACTATAACACGCGGACGAAGTAGAAGGATGTAATGAATATTCAATTATTATCATATTCTTCTCATTTGAGTAGAATATATGACAATTTATATAAATGTTTAAAAATATAAACCTTTATATGTACATGTATAAATAATGTGCGTGATGTAAAAATCTATAATATGAACATCCATTGCATTTTGCATGCATATGTAAACTTCATTCTATAACATGGCCCCGATATTAAGAACGTACAAAGCAATATTGTTCTAACAGGAAACATAATAACTTAAGTTTATTAAATGATTCCATAGTGACGTAAAAATCCATATCACATTTCCAATTCGTTCACGCATGAAGCTTATGAAAAACTATACATAAGACATAAATATATATTAGTAATTCGAGATATATATAACTACACGAAATGGCGGACGGCGAGCCCGGTACAAAGGTTCCATATTAACTAGACTACATTACATTAACCATTTAGGAATACATCAAAATATCAACACAAAGGAAACCACGAGAATATGAATATTTTTTTAAACACAATAAATATATTCTCATTATTTGGCAATACGAAAGAGTCCATCTCTAATGATCATCGTCCATAAGTACAGTTGACGAGATAAATAAGTACATAATACTTTATATTAAACGAAGGCACGTTAAATGAAGAATCGGAATAACACCACTAATTACTATACTATAAATACAAACTTCATTATAATATATAGCGTGCACAGTCAGTGGCAACTTATTATAGTAGTAGTATATAAAAATAACTATTCAAATTATATGCACTTTATATGTGTTGCTCTTTTAAATGTTACCGCTCTGATCAAAAATGAAATGTATTTAAAGAAAAAATTTAAAAATTTAAAGTAAAAATAAATTATTTTTACTTATCATCTTATATTGTATGTATAAGTAGAAATTAATTAGAATTATTTCAAATATGTTTCCTTGTAGACTAGTGTATATATTAATTTGATTTGATTCAATATGTATCTGACTGTACATCAATAAATTGTAGAATAAATTGTTAAAACTCTGTATGGCCTAGTTTTTCACTTTGACAGTTTGCTGATCACTCGGATCAGCGCACCGTTTTCATCCTTTAAGCGCTGGTTCTCCGCTTGCAGCAATTGTTGGCACTGAAAATTATAAAAAGTAAATTAGCATAGCATTATAACTAAATTAGCATTAAACTCTGTAACTGACAAAAGGTACAAACATCAATTCTATATTTATTTAGTACAAAAATATAAAATAAATAACATACATTTCATACACTGTTACAAGTCAATACCAATGATAAAGGGATTTAAACAACTAAGAGTCTACTTAAGGGATAAACACGTAATAATCTGATAAACACATAATTTGTTTATAAGTTTTGAAATCACACTAAATTACCAACAAGCCATGAAAAAACATTTTCACAATATCCTATCTAACGAAAAAAAAAACGCTTGTATCGGCGGAAATAAATAAGGAATTTGTGCAGATAAATGTTTTTTTATTCCGTGCTCTGTGCTGCCAATAAATAAAATGAATACCTTTGAAAACCAATTTGATTTATGTTATATTTTTTATAAATTGTTCAATTAGAAAACCAATAATAGTAACATATATACACTTATGTAAATCTTATACTATTAATGAGGAGTTATATTATCACTCTTTAGTTCAAACGATTTTTTATTATTTTAGTTTAATATTTATTGAATAATAAATTTCGCAGAAAAATTCAGCTTAATGCCGTATGGCAATCTATAACAGCTAACCCTATGGTAGGCAGGTATGTGATTAATTTATTTACTAATTTATATAAATAACTATACAAGAGATTTCAATATTTTATAAATAATACAAACCAAAAATTTTATAGACAATTTTGTGAATTCAATATACATATATGTATATTAAATTGCAGAAGTTAATATACATGCTAAATAAGATAAATATACTGAACTAACACGATGCCATATATTTGAAGGTATGAATCTGATATGTTAACAAGTAATTAAATAGTGAATCTTTATTAATTGACTTAATGGGTGCTTTACATAGGTCTACTTATTTATTTCCAAGGAAAATTGGAGTAACAGCTGCCTGAAAGATGCGAGGGAGTTGAGAGAAAGAAATTATGGTATGAACGAATATTACGGGAATGGGAGTTACTGATGAACTAAATTCTATCTTTCAAATGAGTGACAAAGGAAGGGTTATTAATGATAGAAAACGAAGTCTTTGCGGTTATGGATTTACAAACATAGTTTATAGTTGTGAGCGAAAATTGGAAACGTGGTCATACTTTAGTAGTCCGAAAATAAACCTAATACAGTTAATTGAACGCTTCAACTTATTAAACTGATTTTACGAAATGTTAGTAAGAAAAACTTTGGCATAACAGAAATGTGGAAGAATAAAGGATACGACGAGAGGCAATTTAGTTGAAGGCGGGACACAGAATTTAAGGTGATATAGAGCACGGAATACACTTTCAACCCTTCAGCACACCTCAACCACTTGCATGTCTCACCAAAATGTTGGTTCTACGATAAGACCGAGAATTTCAAGCTAGGAACAGAATGGAGTAATGCTGTTCTCAAGAAGCACATAAAAATTGCCGTTACTCTACATGTGTATTTTAATAATTATGATACATTCAATATCAAAACAGATTAAAAAAACATCAATACATAATAAATAACATAATAGTAATTCGCAAAAAATGCTGCGTATTTTAATTTTTTAAAGATCATAACAAACATTTATTTATTATTTATTATTAAATACTATTTGAGAATTTGAAACTTAAAAAATTAAGACAATACTTTCCATAAACTCCTCATTGACGTCAATTTTAATATTTATCAGCACAAATACCATCTTTAACGCCGCCATCAAAATTACAAATTGAAATACTATCAAAAGCAATCACAATTATGTACATATTGAGCAATGCGGTGGTGTTAGGTAAATATCCAAATAACTCGTCTTTATGAAACTAATAATCTACATATTATTATGTTCTTGTTACTTGTTGTGTGTGAAATGTAAGTGATTATTGTAAATATTAAAAAGTAATTCATCATAATTCAATATATTTATGAAACTGTAGCGTCGAGGGTCTATTTCAGGACTGTTTTAGAAAATTAATAATATATATTCAGTAAACACTAGTAATATATATTCGAAAACACCATTTCTTTTAGTAACAATTTAAAATAAGACATCGGTAATTTAAAACGTATTACGAATAAATTATGGTAACTAGTGGTAACGACACATCAGTAGTTATAATGTAGTATATATAGCACCACTTTATGTACTGATAACTGCATTCATTGACTATAGCTGGTATCATAGTCTTTAAAAAACAGTCTTCGGGAAATACTAACCCACGAGTAGTGCCATTGGCCATTCATTATTATAATATTCTGTGACACGAATTGCACTACTAACAGATGGGAAAATAACAACTAATTAATAGCAAATTTTAAATTTCCTATAATCCTATTTTTATGTAGAAGTCGGGCTCATATGGAAATACTACATAATTTTCTAGATTTTCCTATATTTGTGTATGAATAGGTTTTGTGGAATACTTAATATTTAGTACCTCCCTGGCTTATGTTGTATAGTATAAATAAGTATATTACGTTTGTATTGTATGTTTATAAGAATGAAATATATTAAGACAACAAGTCATTACTACAGAGACCGTCTTTAGGCCTGTATTCCTGTGTGCGTTATTTTTATTAATATCATATCTATTGTGAACATACATGCATCACACGATAGCTAATGTTTTAAATATGTCGTGTTACTACCAGATACGTTTTTAATATAATTATTTATTTTATATGTTATTAAAAAAACTTTGTATCACACTACTTTCTATTGACTATAACACTAGTTTAACTTTAAAATCGCGATAAAATAAATGTATTTGTTAGGCAACTACGAATTAGAAAAAGCGTGATTACGTATGATAGAAATGTCTATATCAAAGTTATATATTTATTTCCTAATACGATACGGAGCCCGTTTGAATTAAAATAAAAAATATAACATACATTAAGGTACGTTTAGATTCCATATGTGTGCTAATTTCGTATCAAAATTGTTCTGTCATTTAAACGTGATTATTAATGAACAGGCAATTAAACATATTATTAAACAATCACATTTGTATTTGCCTAATTAAACAAAATATTCTAAGTCTAAGCAAAGCGTCTGCGCATTGCTTAGTATTGTTTACATTAAAGTATAATACGCAAACTTAAATACGCCATAGCATTTTCCATAGTATCTGCAAATATCTAGTTTATATCGTCCAATATTTAAATTGTATGTTCACATTTAACGATACATAGACTAAAATATCTGGTAACACACGACTTTAAACGTTCCTACCGAACCATCACTTCACTTCACGTATAATGTTTCTCAAAATCATTGAACTCGGCCTAGTACTCTTGCGTATTTAAAACAGGAATAAGTTATTTACATCTCGCACGTACTGTACAAGTGCGAATGAGATGTAAAATTAATATGAATCCTATTTTATATTGCAGCTTGTTAATAGTGTAGTAGGACCGTATGCAAGTTAAACACTTGTAAAATCATGCTCGACATAGCACACAGTTAATGTTATTGTATTGGAGTCGTAACAAAAGTGACTGCTTTTTATGTACGCTTGTATTGACGAGTGGCACCTTACTGGAGTTACAATGAGCATATAGCAATATAATATTGTCAAGTATGTAACAATATTATATAGATTCTGTACCTTATATACAATGATGCCATTTGTAAATTGTTATTAAATTTTTAGAATACCAATAAAGAAATAGAAGAAATATTTGTTTGTTTGCATACTAAATGAAAGGTTACCATTAGAAACCTACATTATCGTTAACATAGGCTATAGAATCTTTCTATTAAAAAATTTGAAGGCCCTATGCAAACTACGATAACGTAACACAACGTGTGAAACATTAACAAAATCATATTGACTAGTAGTATTGTACTACCGTTTACTAGAGAACAGATATTTGATACCCATGATAAAAAATTGTGATACCCTATGTGAAGTCGCTATAATCCAACTTCATGTTTCCAATTCTTTAATGGATATTTACTTTTAGTTTAATTTCCATTATTATTTATTGCACCGTTTTGCTAATTTTAATCCAAATGTTCTGATATGGACAGTAAGATTAGAACTATCTAATATAAAAATATTCTACATTTTACGCCAACTGTTATATCTATTAAGTTATTTTGACAATAACACCAGAATCGAGAAATTGTTAAGGAAGGCTTTCTGTCTTTGCTTTAGGTTCCAGCCTTAAGGGTCACGCTTCATTAACGAGTAATTTAGATATCAACATTATATCGAGATTATAATCTACTTGTGTGTTTTATAATCACGTCACTACATCATTCACAAAACACTAACAAGGAATTCTTAATATTATCAGCTAATCTATCGTTTTGATGATTCTAGTAAACTCAAAAATTTGTTTGGTTTACTTTGCAGTCCAAACATTGCAAGAAATTTTAACAAGAAAATATTTTATATCAATGTTTTTTTATAATAAGGCATAAATTGTCTTATTCATATTCATTAAAACATCTTACAAACCTATTTCAATGCTATATATTTATCAAACCGAAAGACAACAGCTAGACTAAAACAGTGTTTATATAAACAGGCAATATACTAGTCGTTCTCACATTATAACTCCAGTAAATAAAAATGTTTAGCTATGTATGCTATACCTAAGTGCTTAATATTTCCGCTTATGGAAAAGCACACTAATGCACTCGGTCAATAAAAACGCTACATGGCTCGCAGGGTTCTACTACCTGCTGATCGTTTCCATTCACATTTTTATTAAGGACATCTAAGCCGTATTATTCAGAAAAAAAGTAATTTAATTTAATTAAATACAATAAAGCCAAGAAGCGTAACTAATCTGTATAATAATTTTAATAATAAAAACAAGTAGCCGTTACTAAGAAGCTGTTTAAAGTTAGTAAAAACCACACGATTTTAATTGTGGTGAAGACCACAAACCCATTAAAATGAATGAAAATTAATAGATTTCTTTGCAATGTATAACAATAACATGGTGTTAAAAATTATATCTAAACAGACAGAATGGGTAACAAAACGATCAGTAGATGTAGCCCGAGCAAGCCGCACGGCACCGCCACTGAGCCAACGCTCAATCATTATGCAGATTTACCTATTTAGCGCCAGAGTTGGTCAATTTGCTGACGACCCGCGTTAGAGCGCGATTCTCAGCTCTCAGCCTTTCGTTCTCGGCTTTTAACTTTTGCAATTGCTACAAAACGAACACCAACATTACATACAACTCATGTTTTAAGTATGGCGACGATTGTAGCGCCATCTCGAGGGCCGCCATTTGCTTTATATCAAACTTAAGCTTATTCCATTAAGGCTATTCTAAATTTTATATTATCTAGTATCAACTATTTATTGTAAATATACATTGTGTTGTGTGGAGGTAAACAGTGTTCGTAGCAAGTGAATATTTGGCAATTAATGGATTAGTGGGCATATGTACCTTTAGTTCCTCCTCCATTTCCGATAATTTCCTCTCCATAGCTCTCTTTTCTCGCTTTTCTATTTCTGACAACGAGTTCTGACTCTGGAATTTAAAAACAATCGATTTTTATCCAACAGTATTACAGTACAAGGAAGTACAAAAATGTAGGTACTGATAGAAAACTTAAACTGTTCTGGTAAATGGTGTACTGATCTAGGTAAGGAATGAACTATTAGCACTCAATTGACTTAATAAAAAAAAACAAAGTCATGGGTTCAACAAATGTATTATGTAACACATTAACGGGAAGGGAGGGGTGAACGAAGTGTGAGACTGTGTGTCAAGGGATGTACATTTGATAAGGGATGTAATTGTGATGAGAAAGCTTTCCGAATGAGCGGTAGATTAAAAAAATGTAATGACTATTCAAAAGTGCTTCAATGTAAGTATTTGAATAAATGATTTTCTATTCTATTTTATTATATTCTAAAGTTATTTATTATTACGTAACGTTACCTTTTAGTACTATTCTATCATTAATATATTTAAAATATTTTCTAATACGCAGTTTATAATTTTTTTACATGTAAAATACTAAAATTTATCACGTCACACTAAAGAGAACGAGTCATAAGTGTTGCTAGCTGTGGTAAGGACGAGGTGGGAGTAAAGAATCATTAAATATTTGTGACGTAATTTATTTCTACCGACTGTATATTAATGCTAAATGACAACCATCGTCATATTGCATTACTAAGATATCTCTCCAAATTAGGAGATGTGATTTGAAATCATAAATTACTTCTCCTACGCACAACAACACGCATACGGGTCGAATTATGTATTAAAATATCTGTGAACTCAAACATTAACATAGAAAGGTTAGCGAAACTTGAAATAGGGTGTCCATGATTAAGGATATATAGAAAAAGGAACACGATAAAAATAATTATAGCACACGAAATTGGTTACGCCAAGACTGAGATATCTAAAAACCACGACGTTTACAGCTCAATTCGCATGATGAGCAACAAATTAGCAAGATCATACACGACGTAAGTACACAAACAATTTGAAAGTCAGTATAACTCGCGCCAATCTGTCAACAGCCCGAGATAATTAGTGTTCGCAGTGGGCGCGCATTACTCAAATGTTGTAGGCAAAATTACGTTGGAAAACGCACTGAATTATTGTCACCGTAGTTCATGGCAAGAAGTTCCATCACAAGGTTTTAAAAAATATCTAATGTAGTATAAATACTCGTTTTAAATGAAATCAAAGTTTATTGATTAACATTATCAATGCTGATTCTCTAACCTTTCATATTAATTAACTTTTTATGATATTTAAAGTAAGTAAATAATAAAAAGAAACATAATGTCTTTGTTATTTAGAATTCTTTATTCTTTGTCACGATTTCGCTTACTGTTAGGTTTAATATTAAAAATAAATAAAATAATTCAGATAATTTGATTAGAATAATTACGAATACAATACAACAAATATATATAAAATAGATTATAACGCGTTGAGAAAATATCGTTAACAATATATTGAATAGGCAAATATAACGCTTATGTGTAGAACTATAATTTAACTGAACAGCAATGATTTCGCATTTGCAGTATAAATTATATCATGATTAAAGGCAAAATAACAATCTGAATATCAAAAGTGTTACATTTGGATATTTAGATTTGAAATCTAGTTCACCATAAGCATTTTAATTACCTATACATATATATTATTAAATGACATTTGCGTGAGCAAGAAGTAATTTATAAGATAAAATATTAGGCAAAATAAATATCAACATAGTTTTTGAACCCAATTATAAGAAAAATTTAATAAATTGTATCATAGAAAACGAAGCGCAAAATATAATAGATAAATTACATGAAAAAGCAATTGCATATGAAATACACTTAAAATTAAAAAGCAATAACTCTACTCAAGTAATAATACTCATAATATACCAAAAGTATTAAATCAATCAAAATAATATTTTTTTATTGAATTTCATATGTTGATATAGGTTGTTTCAAGAATGAACAAAATTTACTACAACGTGAAAGAATTTATCGCTTAAAAAAGATCCGCAAGCATTGTAACTTTTCTATAGGTTTAAATTGTATTGGCTTAGGTCATATTGGTATTATTGTTAACAATTAAATTAACACTATCTAAGTGTATATATAGAAACTTAGACACTTATTATTAATTGCCATAATCTTATGGACTGTATATAAGAGTATGGTAATTAATAATATGTGTCTAAGTTTCTAATTGTTAAACGAAACGTTTGTAAAAATAAGAGTGTCAGTCACTGGATTACTGTAATTGTAAATATATATATCGTTGTGTAGTTATAATTCGGTCCATAGGTGTTCTCATTTCAAATAAATATTAATATATATACTAGCTGTTCCCGCGACTTGATCCGCGTGGTATTTAACTTTATTTTTCCAAAATAAAAGTACCCTAAGGTAACCCTTGTTATATCAGCTACCTGCCAAAAAAAAGTTCCGTCAAAATCAGTCCAGCCATTTCAGACGTTAGCCGGAACAAACAGATCGACAGACAGACAGACAAAAATTATAAAAAAAATATTTTGGTATATGTATCGTATATATAATTCATATGCATGTAGCAAAAAACGGTTATTTCAATATTACAAACAGACACTCCAATTTTATTTATATGTATAGGTGTATATATATATATTTATATATCTTTACACATATTACTTTTTTACATATAAAATTTTTTTTAGATATATGTCTGCTAAAATGAAGTCTATCAAGTTGAATATAATTATTCATATTCTCAAATTAACTAACCTTTTCATTATTGGCATTGAATATACTTACACGCAGCCAAGGACGCCTACGAGCACCCGTCGTAGACGACTACTGAACTTGGCTTCATTTATTATAATTTATAATTATATTTCTTCACATTTATAACTATACTAATCTATACGTTACGACGTACCTATCCACATGATCATAATCTTGACCTTTTTAGATAAATCAATACCATTTTCAACTATATATTATATATATTGATTTACCATTTTCATTTCAAAATTATTTAAAACTTTCAAATGTGCCAAACGTGACTATTATTTCATCAAAAGACAAACTCCAATTTATACAAATTCTCCCATCGTATGTTTACGATAATCTCAAGAATTACTAAAAGTATGTTCATGCAGTTTTTATACATCAACAATAACTTCTGAGGATGTTTAAGTGTATAATTCGTTTGTTTTCGTCATTAACGTTTTGTATAAATTAGTTGAAGTACCCATGTACAACCGGAGGATTTTGCTATTATAATACAATACAATACAATGAAATATAAAAATAAATACGAACTGTTGAAAAATATCTCAAGGTCTTGAAATATTTTATTAGATGAACTATTTTACTTTCGTCATAAAAATCGGACAATGAATATCCAAGTAAATTGTGGTATTGTTGAAATTAAATTTTATACACTTAATTTAAATTATGAGACTGGTAGTAATAATCCTTTAAATTTATAGCAATGCTATAATTTAGAAATAAGTAATGTCATACGACATGGCATGTTTTACCTAAAGTTTAATTAACAAATAGAATTGTTCCAAAAGAAGAAGAAAAAAACCGGAATTGTTTTATTGCTCCACAGTTAAGGTTCTTATAGTCAGTGAAGGTTTAATTCAATGAAGCTCCAAATAAAGATACATCATAAAGAAATTAAATTTATTTTTTTGCGTGTGCCACACCGAACACATCTATATTTCAATTGTAGCATCGTAAAAATCATAAATTCTACATCTTAATACTGCGCCGCCAATTTTGTTTAGTGACATTTACATATATTTCGCAGAAACGAATTGTGACACGCGTCACAAAATTATTAATATATTGTCCATAGAAATCATGAAAGGCCAATGTTCGTAAACAGAGATATTTACATTTTTTCAGTACCATTTTCTTCTTTTTAGAGCTATATTTTAAAGGTATAATATTTTGTATAAATATAAAACAACCTAGATAATCCATACTAACTGCTACTCTTATTGAAATTTGATACGACGACGATATTGCAAGTTCACGCTCCTTTATTATATATATAATAATTTTGATAATTCATAAATTAACTACTCTATTTTGATTTTATATAGTTATTCCTAAGGTAAAGGTTAAGAAGACCATTTAATCTACATTTAGAAAGTAAATTTACTGTTTATTCAATTACATTTTATTATTAACTTAAGTCTTGTGTGCACAGAAATATCTTAAATATCTATAACACTAGATATTTAAGATGATATTTATATTTTAGCAGTCCTATTAATCGTGATTGATGTTTGCGAGAGACTATTCTTATACAAAAGGAAAGGTTATCATAAGGAATAGTAGAGTAAAAGAAAACAACAGGCAAAAAGACGCTGTAGAGGGCTGTGTAGGACAGATTGAAAAATAGCAAAATTATTATTATTGAGAGACCGGTACCTAAAATATCTGTGAGTGTATTTGTATGTTAGTGTCATAACAATAATCCTATAATAGAATAATGTATGGATATCTAATGACAAGTATTGAAATTCTAGTAACGATAATAATAAAATAAACTAAGTAACCCGCAACTCAAAAATATCGTTATATATTACACTCACCCATCACAACAAAGCATTCCGACAAAGAAAATTACATCATAATTAGTTCATTCGTTTAGGATTTCATCATTGTCACACAGACAGACAGATACGTCAACTTATAACATCTTTTTAAGTCAAGGGTTAAAAAAATAAGACATGTGTTGTACATACCACTTGTGTGAGCCTGGTAATAGTTGCGCGAGCGTCGCGCAACTGTTGTTCGGAGGTACTCAGCAATGCCCTTAGGCGGCGTACCTCGCTGGAGGAGGCTTCGTACAAAGCTTTGTAGTCACGTTCATCCCCTTCCTCTGTGCGCTCACTACCAGACTGGAAATCAATAAAGAAATATAATTAGAATTTGATTGATCAACAACGGTATGGCGGTTTAACTCGTTCAACAACTTATTATACCATAATCATATTTAATTAACACACAACAATAGGTATGCCCGTGTGAATATTATCTGTCCTGACTCTGTGATTCAAAACATTATTAATATGTACCGTTTAGCTGTTTTTTTTAACTATGTTATTCATTCTTCATTTAGAAACTACTCTACGGGTCTCTTATAAGAATTGTCTACGAGCGCTCCGCTAGCCTTAATACGGCACTCGCGAAGATTCTATTCTATTCTTAAAGAAAGTTACTCTCAACACGTAAGTAAGTATAAGTTATGAATCTTTCAACTCAATTAATTAAATATGTTATAAATAATTCAACGTTAAAATAAATACGTAATTAATTACATTGTTGTGAGAAATTTATATGTACTAACCACAAAGCGTGAAAACAATAGTAACGTAGAACAGATTCAACACAAATCATAACATAAATAGCAAATATAAATTTAACAAGAAATATAAGTAACAGGCACCTGTGTTGCCGTCAATGTATAAACTACAATTCATATTATATATATATATATATATATATATACATATAAATTGTAGTTAATACATTGACGGCAACACACCTGTATATTAGTAATTATCCGTTGAATTCATGTAGTTCACTAATTGGTTCCATATTTTCATTTCAATTCGTTTTAGGTATGAATATAGCATTTTTTCTATTTTTACTAAACACACACATATAGGAAAGAAGTTACATTAAATAAATCTTCGAAATCACATAGGTATACTTTGAAAGAGCAGAACCTCAATATTTCGTAAATACTGCGGCAGTGTGATAAATAGTTGTACTAAATAAACTACAGTTTATATAAACTAGTAAAGTAAATGTTATGGTATAGCTTCTATATAAAATAAATACAAAAAGATTTTCGTCAAGATCATGCAATGCGGATATCTATAAACCAAAACGTGAAGTGCACCAGATTGTCTCTACCTACCTCGTTTTCAGGTAGACAAGAAAATGGCATTCTATAGTCTTTTCTCTACGGACAATAAAGATACCTCATTTACCTAATGAATAACAATGAACTCATTGAGACTAAACGGTTAGAAAGTATATAGTAAAGTAAGTCAAAATATAGTAAAGTAAAATTTTTATACTACATGAAGTAAACAACGGCCAAAAGCCAATGTTTCAAAAAACTGTTAGTAATTCCAACGAATAACGTACACAATATCCATCTGAGGCCAAAGAGTTTAGGCTCAGAGACCTCGCGTTGAGACCGCCGGTTGTATCAAGCGACGTGAGTGAACGCGACCGCTCTTTATCCAAATTTTTGTTCGCCCGTAACTTCCTCTCGGGTCTTACTGGCGGAACGTCGGGAAAAACCTCCACCTCCGCCTGTGGCTCCTGCACCTTAGCTGGGGGTACCGGCTTCGGTTTAAAGTTCTTTTGGCTAGCCAACAATTTTTTGTCCAACTTCTTTAACACTGGTGTCATCAAATTTAAAGAACCTAACGTAGCACCACTCAGGTACACTCCGCCGTAACCCGAACTTGTCCCACCGTATATACCTAAATTTGATGATGCCCTTCCGAAACCAGCGCTGTATGGATTATAGTTCCTATACGAGCTAGGACTGTGACTATAGCTGCTAGAGTAATTATTCGAGTACGGGTTGTATTGACTACCGAACATGCTGCCCAACATGCTGGGTGAAGATCCATAGTGCGTAGTGAGGCTTCGCGGACGCGAACTATACCTATCCTGTTTACGACTCATCCTCATTCACATATCACTGTCACGTTTCTATTAAAGCGCGTCGAACGAACGGCGCGATACATGCAAACACACTGACTGTTTCCCGAGTTTTAATTCTAGTGAAAATATTGTCGGCGCCTACGCACAACACGGGGCCTGTGCGAGCGAGACGCCGTGACGGACCGTAACGGTCACTTGAGATAGCGATATCCACAAGCGCACGTGAGCCATCACCTGTAAATACGCGTAGATACAGCACCAGCAATATTCCTGTAGCCGCTATCCCCCGGACCACACATTTCTATTTTATTACAAACTACACCGCCGTCGATAATCCATCAGTCAGCGGTTACCTTCAAAATTGGCAAGAGAACCGAAGGCCGCCACTAATGAGCGAGTCCGCCCAAGTAGTACAGGTACGCACGCCATGTTCTAAATTTATGCGAACGAATCTATTACCATCATGCGTAATATTAAACATAAATAAAGATATGATATGGAGCAGTACTCGTACACAGCATAAATACCGTGGGCGGGCTTTGCTTCTTAACAGCGGAAATATTAGTACATTGAAGATATCTATGTTCATGTCGTGCTCTGTATTATGTCCAAAAGTAAAACAAATAATATTCAATCTATCTGATCATATGTTGTCGATACCCACAATCTACCAAATACTTCTTTTGATTAATCTACTCGTAACTCACTGCGCCATCGCAATCCGCGCCTATTAGAGAAAGTCTTACATTTGTATAATATAATCTATTCAATTTTATACTGTCTATAATATTAGTCTCTTTTCTACATAGTTTCACTAATTGTGTAATTCTTTCATGTGTACACGTCAGTTTTCAATCACATACTGACTGACTGAGGAAAATTGGACTGAAACGCCGAATAAACACGATGCGCTAAATTACAGAAGAAAGCTTTTTGTTTCCGTGCTAAAAATACATTCTATTTTCAAGTTTACGCGGCATTAAGAGGCGCTGACCCAAATACTCGATGTTTGGATCGTTCTAATATATTTAACTGGAATTTTGAACCGCACCGGCGCGGGCGCCGCCTCTATCGGTAACGAAGCTTTAAAGGTTTCGTAAAGAAAGCTAGTGTATTTCGTAATACATTATTTCGACATCCGGGAAATGTATGAGCGAATCCATGAGATAAACAGATCGTTAATAAAATCGTCTGAAATGTCGGTGGCGAAACGTCCAGTGTTCCGTGTTCAACGAGCGGTCCAGTTCAGTCGCGCGTCACTCTGGTGCGTCGACCTGCAATCATTTTTCACGATTTCGTCAGTTCTGACAATTTGCGTCGCGGTTGTCTCGCACTAACACTGATGCCTCGTTATTATACCGGTAGTTTTGGATGCTATATAGCCATGACGTCACACGGCCATGTGTGCAGTGGGCTATGACACTCGTCATCGACAGATACATATGCTAAAAATAATAAGGTATCCACATTCAAACTTCACTGGTGCCCCATCGTTCATAAGAGAGTAAAAATAATTGATATATAATAATGAATATGAAAAAAATCTTCGTCTGCGCTTTGTTATTTAGACTTTTAGAAGAATCAAATGCAAATTTATTGTTGCACCATACATTTTATGAACAGGTACAGATTGAAAAACGAAAATAGACGGACATAATCAAGATCAATTTAAATTCAGATTCCATGGAATGTTGGCATTTGGTGATTTGCTATCTCCAATCTCTTTCTGCTCTGTCCGTAATGTAAATATCTCATTCCAACAATACTCTGCTTCTTTTAAACCATTCTCTACAAAGGTTAAGACTCTTTTCAGATTATTTCTACTAAATATAAATTTTAAGGTATTTACAAAAAAAAGAAAAGCAACTTAGAACTCTAGTTCTTTGTAGAGAACACGGATATCGGCGACGAAACGCCAATTTTCTGTACAACAACAGTTATTAGCTTTGAAGTATATATTAGAAGAAGAAGTATGTAAATATACGTAACACATTACAAGATCATTTATTTCTTATTTGGAAATAGTCTGGTGAAGATAACGTTGGTGAAATGTTCGTATAGTAACCGTTTTTAAAAGTAGTAGTTTTAGTGCCAGCACTAGATCACTTTCGTCGTTATCCGACCTTGCCAGCAGACTCGTAAATAAATGACTTGTCTGTCAGTCACCATCACTGATTCACTTATGATTTCGCACGTAGGCAGTTATTCGCGTACTAACTTCTTTACATATAAAGATGCAAAATCTTAAAAATGAAATTTGCACAGAATATGTTACTATATATATATATACATATATATAACATCAAATTGTCTATAGCCTAAAGAAATAATAGAAAAATATCAGCCGAAGAAGAAAGTATATTTTTTATGTTTATTCTTACTATTTTAAAATAAACGACCTCTTATTGTAAATTAATTGATTTATTAATTCAATAATAAACGCGTCGAAAAATGCTTTTCATCTTTGCTTGTCATCTATACTACTCACGCGAAACCGGCTCATTCGGCTAATTAGGATATAAATTGCTACAGAAGAATAGGTGACGGTTTCCATGCGAATATTATCGTTCTTCTAGTCAGATTGTGACGGTTCGCCTGGTATTCATTTTAGTTAACACCATATATTTTATAGAATTATGATAAAAGAAAATAATAACAATAATTATTTAAAGATTAAGACTTATAAGTTATATAATGGAAATAAAGCAAACAAAACAAAAGAAAGAAATAGTTATTAGTAAGTAATTCTAATGTAATTATCATTCTGATAAACTCCATGATAATTAGGGGGTTGACTGTGACGGTTCGCCTGGTATTCATTTTAGTTAACACCATATATTTTATAAAATTATGATAAAAGAAAATAATAATAATAATTGTTTAAAACAAACAAAACGAAAGAAAGAAATAGTTATTAGTAGATAATTTTAATGTAATTATCATTCTGATAAACTCCATGATAATTAGGGGGTCGACTGTGACGGTTCGCCTAAGTACTCATTTTAGTTTTACGTCATATTTTGCATAAAATGGGCGATAAAAGGAAATAACAATAAAAATGTACATATTAAAAATATTCACTTCAAAAATTGTATTTGATAACTAAACATAGAATAAATTAGCATATATTCCGTTATTTAATTGACAAAATAATTGTAGTAGAAGCATCGTCTTATTTGATAAATAAAATACATAAAATAAGTTATATGTA